CCAAAGAAATAAGGAGAAAAAAGAGAAAAAAGTAAATTAACTTAATTGATCATCCTGCCCTTACTTATAACGAAATTTTAACTATCATGCCCTTCTTCACAACGAAATTTACTAATGATATTATATTGTGGGTATTAAAGTTGTATTTTGAAACTATTTGGGTGGGAAAGTGTCATTAGGCCAAACCTTGGGTGGGAAAAAGTCGTTTATTCTAAATATAGAGATGAAGAAGGGTCATCTTCAACCACTTTTACTAATGACTTTATATTTCTATAGTGTAGATGTGAAACCTTTTTAGTTTGGAAATTGATAGAAAGGGATTGTTGAGGAGAAGGGTATTGTTAGTGAGGAGGCTAAAGCTTTTTGGTGTTGTGTATCATGCCAAGGCAAAAGTGAATAAATGGGGATAGGCATCATTGTTTTGATTGAAATATATTCCCAACTAGATTTGGATGGGGCATCTTTATATATACTTAGCTCACGACTTTATGTGCCACAGTGTAATTCTCTTTGCCTTTAAACCCTCCTTTTTCTTCTTTTCTCTCGAGAAAGAAAAAGGAATAGATGGGAAGCATGATCGCATGGCGAGAAAATTGTCATGTCGTGTAAGTAAAAGTGGACGCAAATGTGCAGGGAAAGGGATTTTGTTCTAGAGTAAATGGATGACAGTCCAAAATCAATTAATTGAATTGATGGCACTGAAACATCCTCACTATATACAACTTTCTTTTTCTTTTAGCTTTTTCTTTTAACTTTTTTCTTCATTTTTTTGGTTTTCTCTCTTTGTGGTGTTAATTAATTTGCACAAACTCAAAAGAGTTAAATCATATCTTGACTCTCCTCTTATAAAAGTCTAAACATCATCTATCTCTTCTTTATATATAGTCGTCGTCTTCTTCTCTTCTTCTTCTTCTTCTTCTTCTTCTTCTTATTATTATTATTTTATTTGTAATTGATTTTTTTTTATTAAAGTATCATCCTTTTTTATGTAGTGCGTTAAAATCACCCACCATTTTCATTGATTCAAGTGCCAAATGCTCACATTCATTTGCATCCCACATGAATGTACTATTTTACCAAAACTTTATATTATACCATTCAACTTCCCGCCAAAAAGACAGATCATTTCATATCTCTCAGTACTAAGTCTGCCTCTTTTAATTTATTGGTCTGTTAGTGGAATTTTGGGGTAATATACAGTTCTTTCTGTTCAACCCCCCCTCTTTCTCTTTTCTCACAACCCTAAAACCACTTAGAACAAACAACTAATATTTCACCTAAATGAGTGGAAACCACAGTGACATTTTTTTTCATAAATGAAGATTTCTGAGAAAGAAATTACAGTAATTTCTTTCATTCATGAATGTACTGTTATCCAATATTGGAAAAACAAATAGCTTCTAGTATCATCTGTACTGACACTTGGAAAGAAAATGTGTTGTGTTCCCATACAGAACTTCGTAGATTCTTGATAAAACCGATCATACAATAAAACACAAGCAGCACTTGGTCTCTTCCTAAGCTATTAAGAGATTTTATTACTCTACAGTAGTACATTCTACATCGTAATATTACTTGCTCGCTCTTAGTTTTCTACTGCCCTCAGATTTACTAAGCTCTGCTACTCATGACTTTAATTCTGTTTATATTTCATTTCCATCTTCAAAAACACAAATGAATTAATAAAACACAACCCAAATACTCCAACACGATGACAATAAAAAGGTTTCCTGCTTTTTATTTGGATTGCTGAAGTTAGTTTTTCAAAAACATATTAATTAATTATCCTTATGTCTTTTTGCTCGTCTCAACTACTTTAGAATGGAGTTTTGGGCTTGGAGCTTATGAAACATGGCCATGGACATTGGGAATACAGTGGTTACTCGTAATAATTATAATAATGTATTGTTGAGGCCTTTTTCTGAACCCAACTGGTTGTTTAGCCCATGATGAACGATCTTTTTTTTTAATGTTCTTACGACATATCGTCCATGAAACGAACGGCTTGCAGTGGGTACTATTGCCAGTCCAAGTACTGAAATGTAATAAATAAAGAATTATTTATTTATTGTCCACATGTAAATGTCGTTTTGTAATTGGATTCATTCTTTCTAGTATAATTGGTTTCTCCGTAAAATCTGAAGAAGGGAGATGAGTGGAAGAGAGATGATGATTGGTCAACATAGATCCCATCAAAAATTACTTCCCACACCGAATATCGTACCAAAATTAGACACTTGTCTTCTCAGCAGCACCATGATTGTGGTCATGATAGAATCCCTGATACTATTACATGCCGATGATTGCGTAATCATATGGAACTAATTATTTGAAAGCGAATGCTTCCAATCAACAAAAATCAATGATCTGGAAAACGAGAGAGCCACCCACAGCTAATCCGATGCTAACATAACACAGTATTTTATTTTTTCAAAGTCTATTACCAAAAGAAAACAGACCTCAAATAAAGAGTGGGAATATATTATATTACTTGTAAATGAATGACTGAAACTTTCAATAGATTATGCTTAGAGTAGTAAGAATCATGACAGAAAAGGCAACAGGTTAAGGTCAAGAGAATAAAAACATAACATATATAGCTAGACTATAGAATTAATATCATGCAATCTTCAATGGATTTTTCTTCTGTAGGTGGGGATGCACTACCAGACTAGCTTTCATTCGTGACAACTATGTATGTATATACAAATCAGAAATGAAGAATTATTGAAAAACACATAATCCTCTTTCTTTGGGATTAAGGTAGATGGAGATTGAGTTGGCTTTGTCTGAGGGTGATGACAACCTGGTCACAGTAATTGACAGCCTGGTTATGTTATGTAATTAGCCGGTTGTTTAATATTTTTTTAATTCTATTCAACATCATTTATACAAATACATAATTAGTGACCATGATATATACAATTAATTAGGATATATATATATATAGTGACATTTTTCCATTTACTATCAATAAATTGTTGAAAATGAACGTAAGATTTGAGTCACACACAACTATATATATATATATATATATATATATTCATTACTGGATATGAACAAGTTATATTTAGAGAAGTGGGTTGTAATTGGTAAATATATATTTTCCTTTACCAACTCTTCGCTGATCTTAGTTAGAAGAAATGGTATTATAATGAAATTTATGGTTTGGACTTTGGAAATTAACAACGTACGCATACAGGAGTCTTAGCTTATGCTTATTTAAGATCATTGAGTACGTCTTTGCATTGAAATATATATATAATGAAATTTATGTGGTTGATTCTGCCGACCAGTGGTTTCAGTCCAATCCATATGCCGATTATTAATTCATTCGACAATTCCAACAAGTAGCCGAATGTTAGACTATGGGGTTCCTTTTTTTGACAAATTTAATTGTGCACCATTAATAAGGGAATGGTTGCAGTAGAAACAAACATTGTGATTATTAATTTACCAATTAATAAATTGGGATTTAACTCAATATATAAACATTGCGTGTAGCATTTTTAATAGTTTGGTTTTGTATCGGAGCTGTGGGACAACCTGGCTACTTTTTGTGTTGTTAATTAGCTTAATATATTAAAATTGCAACTACATTCTATTAGACATAAATTAAATTTCCAAGGTGATTACTCTATACATACTTTCCTTACATATGATATAATTAACTGATCTGTACGTATTTTATTGCTTTAAGCGAAAATGAAATAAAAATACTTAAATTCATTTATTTAAGGTCTTTTTTCACGTCTATGAATAAAAAAACTAAAATTTAAGCCAGTAAGTTTTCTGTCAAATCTTGAGACATACAGAGAGATTATGTTGAAAAATAGCCAAATTTAGAACCATACACTTACTTTAGGGTTCCCTTATGATCTATATTCTTAAAAAATATAGATCTTTTACAATTTTTTTTGAAGGTTTTATAAACCTCCATATATACTGAATTTTGTGAGAGTATTTGTTATTAAAACTTAATCTCTATTATTCTGTCCGTGTGTAGTACTTTTCAAAAACGATATATATACCAATGAAATTAAGTAATGGTTTAGGAGACAGATTTAATTATGTAGCAATCAATACAGGCATGGTGCATGAATGGCTGTTACAATCATCATTTGGGAGGTATAAATACGAGTCGTAAGCCTCTCCCAAGTTCATTAATATAAGTAGGTCACCTTGATTTAAGTTGTATAAATTCATTAATTTATTTGTAAAAACAACAGAAGGAAGTTTTTGCGTATTATATTTATATAGAGCCGCATCTTAGCGTTGAAAAACAGAAGTTCCTTTTGAATAAATAATCCTAAAGTGTCCCATGCAACTAACATCAATTAACCGTCATCTGAGGAAATATGTAGCAGCAATTGGGTTCAGCCAGATTCACATGATAAAAGTGGCACTTGCACAAACATAAATATTGTAGGCTTATAAAATTCGAAAATTGTGAAAGAAGAAAGTCAAATTTTGATTAGAGTACAGTTGGGCAGTAGCGGAATTAAAATCTTAAAAGAACCGGCACTATGTAAAGAAATTAAAAAAAAAAAAAAAAGAAAAAGAAAGATGTTACAGATCACAAGGGGTAGAGGAGGCCTCATGTTAAAGCAAATAATAGTGGAATAATTAAGCAAGTGCTTTAAATTAATAAAAGAAACAGAAAAGCCACTCACCGCCCACATTTGATCACCCATCAATCTCCAGTTGACGACCTTTCACGTAAGCTTTCCACCACCTCCATATGACGGTGACAACCTCCCAATCCCTGCTGATTGAGGACCACTTAATTCTCTCCTTTAATTTCTTCTCCCACACTCAATACTAACACTCATTCATCTCTGATACACATAGACGGTGTTTAAGTTTGTGTGGTGTCCACAGGAACGTCATAACTCATAAGAAATCCAACTAGGTGCCCACTTTCACCCTTATCTTCTTAATCTTATCTTCTTTGGCAACAACTCGAACATGAAGAACGACAATAAGGTAGGCCATCACTATTTCCACGTCCACCCAATCCTTCTTCCTATTCCATTAAAATTTCTTCAACTTCAATATTACATTTACATAAATATTTAAATCACAGACTAGAAAAAAAAAAAGAGAAAAAAAATTAATTAAACACATTGACTAATTACTAACTATATCCTCGTTTACCATCTACCATGTTACAACTGAGAGATTGTAGATGATGATTAAACTTAAAGGAGCTATCTAGCTAAACCTAATCAAACAGAATCCTTTTTGGTTCCATTTTTTTGCGCTATAAGTTGAAATTAATCAAAGATAAAAACTGATCATCAACAGTACAGGTGAGTTCTATATATGTTTATTTGATCTCTTTCAATCTTCATCAGAACTTTCTGGGTTGGGATACTTGTTTAAATCAGGCTTCTCGGATGAGCGAGTGGTAGAATTGGATTCTGATTGTGATTGTGATTGTGATGTATGGAGAGCAGTTTGTAAGGCATCAACCCTAGCTCCAACTTCTGTAGCTTTCTTGCGTATAGAAGCGGCAGACATGTCTCGAAGATCATCATCTTGGAAAATCAATTCAGGAAAATTAAGACGAGCAGAAGGGCCTCTAAGATAGAAAACGGCAGTATCATAGGCTCGTGCTGCAGCTATAGGAGTAGTGTAAGAACCAAGCCATATTCTAGATCTCTTGTTTGGTTCTCTAATTTCAGCCACCCACTTTCCCCACTTTCTCATCCTTATCCCTTTGTATGGCTTTTTCTCTTGTTGTTGCCCTTGCTTCCGCTTCTCTGTGTTCATGTTTCTTGTAGAAGTCTTTGATGAACAAAATTCACCTTCCATCATGAACAACTGAAAGATGTTAACTAAAACTCTTGCTGTTTCTGAAAGTATAGATTGAGGCTCATGACGAAAACAGATAAGATGAAGATGACTCTAGTTTCGATCCATGAAAATTGTTTGCCTCAGAAATTATTCTCATATATATGTGGTAGCTGTATGGGTGTAAACATACATATAAAAGATGTTAAAATTTATATAGAGAGAAATATGCAGAGGCAGATAGCATTAGTTTCCCACTTGGCTGCTAGTCTGTCGTATGGGCACGGCCGCCACGTTGATCTTCCTTAAAGATAAATACAAATTTGGCCGACATAATCCATCATCAGCTCAGCTCTCCCTTCTCTTTATTCTCTCTCTATTTATAGTTAAACGAAACCAATTATATAAAGTCCATATCTCTTGTAAGGGCATTTTCGTACTTATAGTTAACCATCCACGTAGCGGCTATCTGAAAGCCGACGTGGATGTTACTCTTCCAAGTACGCAAATCACGATTTTAAGGCTCTGACATACATGCACTTGGATCATTTATTATTACACAACAGGTTTCAATTATTTATTCTGGGAGGATTTGATTTTAATTAATAAGTTAAATATAAGAAAAAAAAAAAAAAAGGGTGTCAAACAGAAATAACTGGAAATAAAGTTGTTGTTTATGGGGATTGGTCAGTTGACAAGAGGTGAGAGTCGGTGGAGAATGGATGGATGGGGTTTGAGAGTGACTTTCCGTCCACGCAATAAGGATGTAGTGGAAATAGTAAACCCTAGAATAAGTATCTTGTTTACTCTCATCGCCGTCTTAATCACCTGCTTAATTGTGGACTTTTAAGAGTGGCCCACTTTCAATTCAACAATTGCGAGTGCATAACTCAAAATGACTTTGAATATGTGTCACATCTCTAGTGGGTGGATGGATTATCGACTTGATTTAAGTTTTGATTACCGACTTTAATTAATAACAATAAATACACAAATCCTCCACCGCCTATATGACAAAACCATAAAATATACAGACTGAAAATAATTACTTTGAATATTGACCCGAATTTTTTAATTGGACAATCCTTAATTATAGATCTTGCGTCAATTTAAGGGTAGCATCATCATCACCTTCTCTTCTTTTTTTTCAAAGACACATTACTGTTATTTCACTATTGAAATAGTAAACATAATAACCATCAGTACATCACAAAATAATATGAATTTATAACAATTTATCCCATATATTTTAGTCCTAAGAATAAGGGATAATAATATTTGGATGAGGTGAGAGATATGGACAAATAAATGTTTTGCGCATTTGGCGTTTAGACAGCACCGTGCTCCCTCCCCACTGAAAAATTACAAGCAACTATAAAATGATTATAATAATTAAGATGATTGTCTGGAGATGCAGCACCAGGACATGGGAGTGTGCCCAACTAGGCAACTTGGAGATGTAGTCGGCAAATAAAAAGGGGACAACAACATATAAATATACATTTCTAATTATAATATTGTTCCATTTTTGAGTTTGTGTTCATGTCTCTTACGCTACTTCTTGCTTGAAATATTATCACTACGGACAAATCTATCTCTGCCCAGGAACTCCTCTCAAACTCACCCCTCTTCCACTACATACAGACTTCTACTCCTGCCCACACATTTACTCTCCAAGATTTAATGCATTAATACCTAATATTTTTATAAAATATTATAAATTCCTTAAAACATAAGTTTAATTATTGAGAACTCCTCTAAAATTATTAAAAATACCCATAAAAAATAATAATTAAAATACACACGTTAAGACAATCCAAACTATTTAAGAGAGGTTTGTATCCGAATCGGAGCAATACCCAGTTTCTATGTGTTTTGTTAGCTTTGCGTTATGTTCTCACTTGTCACTTCAGTTTTCCCCAATATGAAAACTTCGTTCCTGGTAAATTTCCTATTGTTATGCCTGTGATATATTTGAAAACAATGCTTGATTTAACCTAGAATGAGAAAAAACCCAGACATCATCAACCAAAATCAAAGCAATCAAGCAAATAACTGCGTATGTTAATCTTCAATTTCTGATCTCATTGATTAATACCAAAACAGTTCAATCCAGATATCCAATGCTACCTATAACATCATACTAATAATACAAATTAGGACTGTTAACATCACTAATCCAATGTCTAATCTTTCTCCAAGAGGCAAACAGTAGGCATACTTACACTCTGTTTTCAGTAGCTTCACCAAACCATTGAACCTAACCTCCTAATCAACAATCAGGATGCTTTGAGGTAATTCATCTCCACTATGCTGAAAAGGACCTCTGCTGGTCAGGGGTCATGAATTCCAGGATACTAATGCTTCATAAGCAGAAATCTGCCACTCCAAATTAAAATATCAATACCGACGACTTTTTCAAAGATCAAATATTTTTCATTACATTGTATTTGCACAAGACAAATCAAGTCGATCAAAGAATAATCTAAAAGAGATATGCAACTTTTTTCTAACCCAGGAAGTGTTCCACTCATTTCTTTTTTGACACACAGCAATCAAGATAAATGAAACTCAAGACCAGTGACTTCACGTTATGAAAAATATCCAATATCCTATTTGGCCACGACCATTCTTCTATCAATTAAAATCCTATCATTTGGCACAGCGATTCTTTCTTTATTGAAATACTCATCGAGTTCTCTAGCACATTTAGAGGACAAACAAATTGAAGCAGTAAACATGGTTTAGCCATTTGCAGCAGAAGCCAACAACCAACCATAAATAATACAAGCAATATTAATTTCAGCAACAGCAAAATTAATGCATTATCAAAGTATAACCAAAATAAAGTTCATGCTACACTCTGTTCATCAAGGATAATGACCAACTTAATTTGCATGGGATGTTCATCTTACAGTGTGCTCTCCAAGCTTTGATAAGTAAACCCTCTAGGAACTAATTTTGCCATTGCTTTCCATGCCCTATTATTCTTATTAAATATACTTATTATTCATTTCTTTCCTATCTTGATACACCAAAAACCAATCCTCATCTTGACACACCCAAAATCACTGCAGATGCTGGTCAATAGGATCCTTTTTTAATCCTTCACATAACCAGAGAAAAACTAAAGCCACAACATTCAAAACAGAAAAAATGCACAACAGCATGTAGACAATAAAAATTGAGCTGCTTTTCAACAAAAAAACATACACTGCACCCAATTAGCCTCGATGTGCATAGATTAAAAGTGAAACTAGAATGATGAATTTGCAAATGCATGATTTCAGATGACCCAAAGTTTGTAAGGCAAAAGTGTTGAAAATAACTACCGAGTACTTTATGCCTCATAAAATTTAAGAAAGTTCTAATCAAGCATCATAAGGGGCATTTTAATGAATAAGCATGATGTGTATACTAAGATGATACTTGAAACACAAAATGATTGCAATGGATAGCAATGCTGTACAATTCTCATTATGAAATACTAATGAAGTTAATACGGTATATCACTCTGACTATACACTAACATAAGAAGCATGCTGAGATTATTTGGGGCAGACATATACCCATTGATATCTGAAGACCACAAGCATCAACTTTTAGAATCTGAGTGCAAATAGGACCCGTTCATGATCGCACAAGTATTCTGATAATCGAATGAATATAATTTATTAACAAATATTCACTTCTCCTAAAGAGGAAAAAACTAGGACAATAGATGTCAAAAAAGCATTCAATTCTCTGATTCTGTTCTCAATTGAAGCTTGCAAGCTATTTTTGTCCGATTAAAGAACAATATGCCCCAACAACATGCCTCATATAACCAACTGCATTTGCTTATATCAATAGTATCCATCTTCTTCTTCAATTCCCTCCTCCCTTAAGAAATAGTCTCCATCCACTTCCTCAATCACCCAATCTTCATCTTCCTCTTCTCCTTCTGAAAACATCGAAATCCTCTCACCACGAAACTCAGTTCTTTCAGCAACAAGCTCGTTAACCACATTATCCAAATCCGTCTCACTCTTAAAATCAAATACCCTATCATACTGCCTAGCACAAAACAACTCATTGTCATTCCTCTCAAAATCCTCATTACTCCTTCTCTTAGGCACCAAATCCTTCTCTGTCAACTCCCCATTCTCCACCCCAATCCACGGCACCCACAAATCCGCATGCTGCCCCAATCCTCTATTTGAATCTCCCACCACAACCGTCCCCAAATTCGCCTCTCTCGCTTTCCTCAACATCTCCTTAAAATCCTTATCATCTGACACCAATAACATCCAGTCAATCCCTCTACTCATAGAATGCTGCATCTGTCTCTTCAACGCCCAATCCGCAGCTTGTGGTTTATCCTCAACTGTCTTAACAAATACACCAGCTCTCTTCAACTCCGATCCCAGCCCATAACCAACTTTCGGCTTTAACAAATTCTTCGCCGCTTCATTGTATTTTTCATTCCCACTTATATATCTCTCTTTATATTTCTGTCTCTTTTTCCCCTTCAACGATCTCATTCGGTTCAATTTTTTTTGGCGCTCCCGTTCATGTAACTGTTTAAAATGTTTCCTCAAATCTTGATTGGTCTTACATTTGCGACCACACACTCCGCAAATGTACGGATCACTGGGGACCACAACTCCTCTGCGTTCAAGAATGTCCAACGTCTTACGCTCACGGCGTTCCTCGATGATCCACTGAGGGAGGTGAATAAACGCGTGACGGTTGGCGTAAGCAGAGATGTCAGTTACCTCCCCGAACTTCTCAGCTATCCGTCTTAACGACATGGCCGCATCGTACGGCGGGCCACGAGGCGGCTTGTTATCGAGGTCCCACAAAACAACGACTCTGTTGTTGTTTTTTTGTGTGTAGACTCCTTGCTTGTTTCTGACCATGTCGATTTCAAAAGTTGCGGCGTGGTTGTCTGAGGCAGCTTTGATGCAACATTGTGATGAGGATGAGAGTGGTTTGAGAGTAAGTTTGGTTTTGAAATTAGAGGGAAAATTGTGAAACAAAAGAGATTGAGAGAAATGGAGGTCCGTTTTGTGAATAAGGGGTTTTAGAGGGAGAGTGTCAAGAGAGTTGCAGAGGGAGAGGGAATTCATTTTTCATTTATCCGTAGTACGCTAACTCCGACTGCGAGCGAACATGAGCGATACTCGGATAAGGAGATTGTAGATATTAAGCGATTGGTATCTTATATGCTATATGGGTAGTAACCCGATGGATCCATCACGATGGATGAGTTGGGCTTTTTGTGGACCCTAATTATCTAGATGGGCCTTTTTAACAAATCGAATCAATTAGAACTAGAATTACTCATGCAAGGGAGATATTGCCACATTTTTTACTATTTTTTTTTTTTTTTTTTTTAATGATATCCCATAAATTTCACAAAAGCCCTTCATTCTATTTTTTTTTTAATGTATTTTAAAATTTTATTATTTCATTCATTTTCACTTATGCCATATACCTTAAAAGTAAAAAAAAAATTGAAGCTGAAAAAACACCTTACACATAATCCCAACATAATACAGTTAAAAAACACAATAAATATATAAATTAAAATAGTTATCAATAATACTTTGAAAAAAATAACAAAAAATTTATGTGAAGCAATTGAAAATTTACAATTTTGTATTACTTCTAGCTTGATATATCGTGTTGCAAATCTTCTTCCTTTATTAGACTATCTTTTTGTTCTAAGAATGATTTGAATAATTTAACAAAAAATAAGGTTTATGAGATAATAGTAGAGTGTCAAATTTATTTGTAGAAACTAAGAAATTAAAGTTAATTTTGATAATTTAATATAGGGATAAATTTGTTATTATAAAATATAAAAAGAAAGAGGGATTTTTCTTTCTTTCTAGAATTTAATGTTTTAGATAGTTGTTGCACTTGCACTCACTTATATATATTGGAAAATTCAACTCGATTGGAAAGTTTTTGTAGAAGGCTCAATTGAAAGAACCGGAATCAAACCAAACCAAACTTTGTGTTAATATTTTCTAAAAAAAACATTCATTATTAAACAATATTAGATACATGTTATGTTTCTAGGTTTCGTTCCATATCATTCGTACACTTAATATTTTTGATGCACTTAACATGTTTTCTTCATTTCCTCTTTGAATTCTATAATTTCTTTCTTCACATTTAAAATATTAAATTAAATGACTCAAGGATATTATTTTTGTCATAATAACGTCATCCATATGCTTAAAATCATAATTCTGCATAAATGGTTTTAAACTTTCTAAATGATGTGAAACCATAATGAGTCCATGCAACTTTTGAAAAGTCTTTTCTCATTTTGTGCTTCCAACTGAGGGATGATGTAGAAGACAAACTTCATTTTCGGTTCTCTAAAAAAGATGTGCCGCTGTTCCAGTGTTGTATTCTAAGAACTTTAGTCTTAACAATTTATGCACAAAAAATAAAGAAGATAAAACAACCACGACCTTTTGTTCATATGGGTATTTTTAGTTCAATAACATTGAAATTGTTCTTTTGATTGCTTTAAGATTTGGAAGATTTCAATGACTGTTTCGGCTTTTTCATCATTATGTTTGTTTGTGCTTGATTTTGACACTAATGACTTGCATGTACTAAGTGTTAAGTTGTTTTTAGAAATTACCGGTGAATGATTATGATCAGATATAAAGACTGAATAATAAATAAGAGATATGATTTTTAAAGTAGTTCGGATGCTTAAAGCGAATCCTACGTCCACTGTTTCTTTCATAGATGAGATATTACAAGAGGTCACATATAGCGAATAACAAACAGAGGTACAATAACTAAGTATTCAGAGAGAACATCAAATCAGTCTCTTTCCCGTAGGTTATCTTTGTCTGGAAATAAAGATTACATCAGAATAAGGTTTCAGTATCAGAATCCGAAAATGAGAGGGAAATTGGGGGGGGGGGGGGGGGGGGGGGGGGGGTCCTCTATTTATAGTAGAGGAATTTAAGGTAATAATTACAAATCTGCAAGTGGATAGGTGTCGTGCAATTCCTTCATTGTCTCTCATTGGCTGATAACTTAGGAAATATCCTCAAATTATCTAGGGCTTGGACAGGTGTGCGGTCCTCAGTCACTGATAGACAAAACTTGAATCTGCTAAGTTGGTGACAACCATATTCTTTTTGTCATGGAGCAACGTGGCAGCTTCTGGACGGCTCAAAGCCTTCCTGAACTATGATTGGTGCTCGTTGACGTAATCTAACGTCAGCCCTGATTTTTTAGGCATAATAGAAGCTCCCCAATTCTTAAGGTTCAAAGATTGAATCTTAAGAACTCCATGATTATGCTGCGATCTGACTTGTTTCGAGGAGTGTTTGCGCAAACTAGCAGTTGAGAACAACCACATTGTTACAAATGACATGAGGCTGATAGTCTGACCCGATTGGCGAACTAAGTGTAGATCGTGACATGGGTCTCAAGAACTACACAAGCGACCTAACATGATCATTCACAAAGGTCTAGCGACCTGAGCCAGATCATGATTAGTGCTATGAAAATGTGTTTCGTACTCTACCTGTCATTCACGACCTGAAAACACTTAGAACATTTTGCTATCGACAATTGAGAATCATTTTGCTCGATGTTCGAATTTGACATATGGAAAAAATGTCTTATTCGAATGACCTCCTCAGATGTTATCCGTTGCCTTTGACAGCTATCTTGGTCAATAAAATAAGCTTTATCTGACAAATGTATCTCTACGCAATAAGCGTCAGCCATGAGCATTAAATGCAAGTCATGTTGAAACGACATTCCCTTTTGAAGCACTAAATGCGAATGAAGGCGCATTTAATGTGGAGGAGATAATCACACCGACGCTTGGCGATTTCAATAAAGAGAAACACCGGTTGATCTTCACGAAGCGTGAAGGTTACTCTTCCACAAATCAGTGACACATGGTTACAAATGACATGAGGCTGATAGTCTGACCCGACCGGCGAAATAAGTGTAGATCGTGACATGGGTCTCAAGAACTACACAAGCGACCTAACATGATCATTCACAAAGGTCTAGCGACCTGAGCCAGATCATGATTAGTGCTATGAAAATGTGTTTCGTACTCTACCTGCCATTCACGACCTGAAAACACTTAGAACATTTTGCTATCGACAATTGAGAATCATTTTGCTCGATGTTCGAATTTGACATGTGGAAAAAATGTCTTATTCGAACGACCTCCTCAGATGTTATCCGTTGCCTTTGACAACTGTCTTGGTCAATAAAATAAGCTTTATCTGACAAATGTGTCTCCACGCAATAAGTGTCAGCCATGAGCATTAAATGCAAGTCATGTTGAAACGACATTCCTTTTTGAAGCACTAAATGCGGATGCGGGCGCATTTAATGTGGAGGAGATAATCACACCGACGCTTGGCGATTTCAATAAAGAGAAACACCAGTTGATCTTCATGAAGCGTGAAGGTTACTCTTCCACAAATCAGTGACACGTGGTCACAATCAATGACCAGAAACGCGTTCCCGCTCAAACATCGCTTATAAAAGAAACTAAGCGTCGTCTTCCACCTTATAAAACCCAAAGCCCATTCCAAGTTTTTTCACATAACTCAAACTTTCAAAGAGAAAACCAACGTTTTTGCACTCAAAATATTAGTTCATCCTCTTCCTGGTTGATGCGCACTCAACACTATGACAGAACATTTGTTCCCAGCAATCAAGAGGTAAAAAAATTTCTTCTCCTTTTCTCTTTTTCATTCCTGTGAAAAACTTAGTTTTTACAGTAATGGTGGGTGTGAACGTCTGGTAGGCTTAGATGATGAACATTCTTGGGTAGTGTTTGAAAAGAAACACTTTTAAGAGTCAAAACTTAGGGCACAAATCTTTAGAAAATATTTCTTAAGAATTTTTAGGGTTTTTGGCGACTATGGGAGAGGAACCAGAGTTATTTTACTCTTCTGAGTCATCGTACGAGGTAAATTATGCGGAGTTTGAGTCACCTCTACATGTCACCCCTTTACAAACTCTAAGAGTGATGGACATCCCTTAGGCAAAAATAAATGGAGAGGGAAGCTAGCTGCCACTAGGCATCTCGATGGGCCCCGGAAAGGTGATACGATCAACAGTTTCGAAGGACAAAATCCAAAGAGCAATTGACCAGTACTCGATCAATGTAAACATGTTCCAACACAAGTTTCACACTGCTTAGGATCCTCCCGAGGGATTAGCCGTGATCTCGAAAGCAATCTTTAAATGTAGAGTGAGGATACACATTCACACCTACATCAGGTCGATTCTCAACCACCTCCAGATCGCGCCATTCCAATTGACGCCAAATGCATATATGATAGCGGTCGCTATGTATATCACATTTGACGAACACAGCCTCAACAAGCCAATAGTAGAGGAACTCGGTTGTGCCTATTACTTAAAGAGGAGTAAAGACAAAGATTCGTGCTACCTCTCCAAGCGATCAACGATCGAGGGAGGAATATTTGGTTACCCCAGCAATGTTGGGGCTTACCAAATATTTTTTTCTTCGAGTACGATGGAGTCTGTAAATTTAAGGAGTCGAGTAGGTTTTCCTTCTAATTTCTAGATCGTTCATCTTTTAACTTTAACATTTCCTTAATATATTAGGCTAACAAATCTTTTGCTTTTTTGCAGGAAACAAAATGACCAGATTTTCGGCGCTAGTTGATCGCAGTCGCATCAAAGGATTCAGTCGATTGCCCGACCAGAGTCGCAATGCAAGGCTGCTCGTAACTACTGCCAACCTTTGAAAGTACGAGTTTTTCAATCCTAATATATCTTTGGATTGTCCAGCTCGTAAGTATTTCTTACATAGAAAAACTTTAAGTCTTTATTAACAAAAGAAGACTTTCTTTGCTGACGCATCTTTATGCCATGCAGTAACTATGCCACTAAAGGTCACGAAGAAGCTTGTGGGGTTCACATTCCCCAAAATTAATCCAACTGAACCAGCTGGAGCGACCTCCAGCGATATCCCTGTATGAGGGATATAAATTGGTGCTGAAAGGCAACAACCTACTGAGTGACACGAATAAGCTCCCCGGCCTACTGCTGCTCATCTGCCAAGGAAGAAAACCACAGGCCAGAAGTCAAAGAAGAGGAAAACAATACCTATCGAAGAGGAAACCGAAT